GAGTAAGGCCCCTCTTCACGGTGGGTTTGATTAAAGGAAAGCGAAGTATAAGGAACACAGCTCTATTATTTTTTCACTTTTTGTGCAGAGTGATTGTCGCAAAAAAGTTGAAAAGTATCGTCTTTCAAATCATTTCCTACGTTCTGTATGGATTTTTCTATTTTTTTCATTTAATTCACAACAAAGTAAGAAAAGTAACTTCTTGTACTTTTTACTTTTTCTTTCCTTCAATCTAGTTTTCTCGAAAATTAAAATGTTCACGAAGGACTCAACTCCTATATTTTCACTATGTTGACAATTCGAGTTCAAATAGGGTTGTAATAGTTTAAAAACCAAATAACCGCTAAGTCAATTTTCTTGCAAACATGTAAAAAAGAAACACTCTTTTATTAGGGTTAATTAGGCTTGCTAATCGATTTTTTGAGCTCGAGCTTCGCTGAACATGGAGCAGGAAGCTTCTCAAGAATTACTTTGAGAAACCATTATTAAAGTATGTAATACACGCACTGTTTTTCTGGTAAATTGGGAAAGCATTAAAGGACTAAAATATCATATTAGTGTGTGTGTGTTTTTTTTCACCTTGGCAGCAAAAAAAAAAGCTCACACCCATTTTACTTTATACGGAACTTGAACGAGGATTTGTCAAACTCGAGCTTTGCTAATCATGCAGCAGAATGATTCTCAAGAATTACTTTCAGAAACCATTATTAAAGTATGTCGAAACCAGTTATTATGTGAGACCTGCACGTCCTTTCCTTTGAACCATTCCAGTTAAGTGCTTTTACTTACCAACAAGCTTGAGAGCCGTCCTTGCACCCAACGTCGTACAATGTTTTTGCCCCTGTAACGCTAGGCCCCTACTTCTCCAAAGAAAGGTTAGAAATTTGAGTTTCCGTGAAAACATGTGTGTGTGTAAATATCATCAAAGAATATATATATATATATATATATATATATATATATATTAGTGTTTTTTTCTCCAAAAACATGTGAGGGGTTTAAGCCTTCACGACTCACGGAGCATTTTAAAAAATAAGAAAGTATCACGGAGTGAAGATCATATTAAGGGTGAACAAAGAAAAATGATGGGATTGAAAGACAAGAAAGTAGTTTCTCAGAGTGGCATCGACCATCATGGATCTCATATGCGTGGCTCCACTCTAGAAAAGGAAGCCAGAATTTATGGAGCAAAATAGTCCAACACCAACCATCTAAACCTCTTTATATATCTCAATCAGATTGGTTGCTAAGCTTAATAAAACTCACAACTACTACCTTTATACTCATCGTTTCTCCATTTGTGTATTGGCATTTGTGTTCGTTCCTACAATCACGCAAAAGCATTTGGCAATCAATTGGGCCCCAAAACATTGTTGGGATTTACTTTTTTTTTTTTGTAGTAGACTTTTCTTTTATTTGGTCAAAGGTTTGTGGGGTGTGTGATTGTGTGTACCTACCAGTGTTATGTGCCCTTTAAAAGCATGAGTTTCCCAACCCCCTCCTAAAAAGTTAAAAGAAAAGGAAGTTAGTGGATCCAAGGCCAACTTTCTGCATTTATTTTACTCTAGATTTTTGTTGAATGTTATCAAATTTATCCATTCAATTCTCTCATTTCCAAGCCTACCAGAAATAAATGAACATAACACCCAAAACCTGGAATACAAGAAACTTATTATATAATTTGTACGGCCAAGGGAAATTTTTTTTTTTGGTAAATTATATTACCTTTCTTGAGGGTTGGAGTCATTGAGCGTTTATTACTTTAATTTCCTTAAGACTTAAACATCTATACTCAACATTTAACATTCAACGACACCTCTTAGCATTTTTTTTTTCTAACATATCAATTGAATTTTTTTTTGAAAATGACAATTTTATCCTTCCCTTGTTTAAAAATCACAAAACTCGCATTTTGCCAGCGAACAAGTTTGAAGGAGGTCAAAATAACAAACACGAAATAGTGTAGTTGTGTGTAATTTGTCCAAACCCTCGGTTGATGTTAATGTAATTTACTTAGAAAAAATTCAATACCCTCGAGATACCTACTTTATAGTATCCCAGTCAATCAAAACTCTCACGGTCTGCTTGGTTTCTAAATTGTACCCAAAAAAAAAAAAATGGCTTGGTTTAGTTTTCAGAAACGATTTTATGAAAATTCGATTATAAAAATGTATGTTTTTAGATAACTATTTTTTACCGAACTGTCTCACGACGTTCTGAACCCAACTCACGTACTACTTTAATGGGCGAATAACTCAACCCTTGGAACATACTTCAGCCCAGGTGGCGAAGAGCCAATATCAACATGTTGTCCTTAGAGTAACTTTTATCCGTGAAGCGACGACCCTTCCATTCGGCATCGTCGAATCGCCAAGGCTGATCTGTAAACAATTTTTATTTTTTGAGTTCTTAAAAAAAAATTTGAATTACAAATCAAACATGTCCTCAATAATCATATGTGGGAGTACTATATTCGGCCCAACAACCATTCGTCCAACTGGCTGTATAGTAAGAAAAGTTACATTAGAGAATAATGTGCTTTGTTGTTGCCCAATCACTTCAAAATAAAGGACCTTGATTGTTGCTTGCAAATTTCGAAATAGATATAAATTTACTGGATATAAATTCTCTAGATCAACTCTATTATGATGAGAATGGGACGATGCACTTGATGCAAGTGCACTGAGAACATCGTCATGTAACATTTTATTTAGGGTCACAACACAAATTTTAGAAGTAGATATAGAAATAAGATACTATCAAAATGTGGATTTCACAACTCTTCTAAGAACTTTATATATATATATATATATATATATATATATATATATATATATATATATGTTAGAAGTAAGAGAGTATGAAATAGAACTAGTCCTCAAAATAATTTGTGTTAGACACAGTTTATAAATTGGTGCATTATTTACAGCTCATAAAAAGTTTTCTCACACTTCATCTGATTTTTTAAAAATAACAAATTAATGAAACAATTGTAACTTAAGTATTCTCTCATGCATAGCTCTCTAAAAAATACTTTTTACGATCCACATTTAATAGACAACTCTCATTTTATCACAAGAATGTGTATGGCAAAGAAGATTTATCGAAGATCAAATGCCCATTAATTTTCATATTAACTTTAACTACTTTAAACAATTGGTAATTAAAATCTTGTTTTCTTTAAAACAAAAAACTTAACGTAGAATCCTGGAAAACAATGAAGAGGCATTATACGAGGGTTAATGGGTTGAACCTGTTTTGCGATAAGCAATAAGTCACTACATGACTTAAAATTTTGACTTCTTTTGAGCTGTAATTAATGTTTTTATTAAACATGCTGAATTTTTTAAATTGCTTACCATGTTTAATCTAATAATCAAATTATCAAACCAATGCTATGTATCTTACGAGAAAATATGGTACTCTAAGGAATCATTTTCCCATATTTTTCCATGACCACTTAAGCTAATATTTGAATGAAAATTGCACATCTTAATTTTTAGTTTCAAAATAGAGAAAAAGAAAATATTATGCAATGAAATATTAAGTGTTACTTCTTCTTCTTCTTCTTTCTTTCTTCTTTTCTTTTCTTTTCTTTTCTTCTTCTTCTTCTTCTTCTTCTTCTTCTTCTTTTTTTTTTTTTTTTTTTTTTTTTTTTTTTTTTTTTGTTACTTACCATCTAAAGAGTTTTATTCATCAACAAAATACTCTAATCATTACATCTAAAGTGATAAGTGACCCGGTAAACAATGAACAATCTCACGAGCCTCGCAACATGATTCAATTGGTGATTAAAGTTTTTATTTTTGCTTTTTTTAAAAAAAAACTACGCCAGAACCTTGGAAAATATTGAGAGGCATTATACTAGGGTTAATGAGTCCAAACGTAAGTCATAACCACGTTTCGCGATAAGTAATAAGACACTGCTAAATTTTGGCCTCTTTTTAACGGTAATTAATTTTTTATTAAACACGTTGAATTCTTAAAATTGCTTATCATGTTTAAGCAATGAATTATATTATTAAACCGGTCCTATGTATTTCACAAGAAGATGCACAAATGTAAGGACCAAGAATGTATTACCAGAATATTCATTAGTTGAGATATCGCATAATAAGTATTTTTTCATGTCTTAAACATTGTATGTAGTCATGGTTGTGGTGTAATAGATTCGGACAAATATTAATATAAATTGATTAAATTAGTCTATTCATGCAAGTGTGTAGATGGCAATTTGTCTCGCGATGACGGGTCCCAGCCCCATTTCGCCCCGTTTATAACGGTTTTGGGGGACCGTTTAGCTTATTTGGGCGGAAATGATTTTTATTACTGAAAATCCGGATGGATTTGGGACGGCAACGGAGGAAGTCACCCCACCCTGTCCCGTCCCGTTTAGGTAGGTAAATTACTAAATTACTCTTATTTTATTAATATATATAGTTAACTCTAGAAACTTTAAGTCAAATTCACTCACTTTCTTAACTGTTCTAGTGAACGACAGAGCTCCACGAACTAAGAACGCTTATACCCTTGAATTTTATGTTAAATTATTAATTGTCTATTTTTTATGATTTTTTTTTAAATAGTTATATAATTGTATTTAAAGGAAAAAATTAAAAAATGAGGAGAAATCTTAGAACTAAACAGGACAGGAGCGGATGTCCACGGGATAAAAAATTCTCCCGTTTAAGCAATTTTGAACAAGAACGAAGGCGAAAACTTCTAAACTATTGTAGAAATAGGGAGGGTACACCCATCCAAAATTGCCCCCATTGCCGTCCCAATAAGTAATGATATCAAACTCTTGAAAAAGAGTTAGAAACCGACAATCCAAGATGCCACTTGAGGGTCTAAATATTTGAATGAAAATTGCACTATCTTAATTTTATTTTCAAAAAAGGAAAAGAAAAAAAAGTAGTAGCTCCTTTACTACTTTTACAGTTTTACGCTTTTGCTTTGCTTGTCATGCCACTGCCCCCCACACTGATGATCATCATTCACACACACACACACACACACACACACACACAAAAACTGGACAGTGTTAGTCGACACTGCATTTCTTCTCCTCAGTAGTCCCAACCAACTTGCCTAGGCCCCAACAACATCACCGTTATCACCAAAGTAAATGTCCTATCAATCATCATCATGGATATTAAATACTGCCTCTATATTAAACCCCAATCTGTTATCTTCTTCCACTGAAATTCACACTTGAAAGTAAACTATCCATCCCTAACATTTTCTATGCACGTTTAAAGTCTGATCGAAAATGGAATCGGACACAAAAACCCGCTCTGCCACTGAAATTGGGTCCAAAATCATCAACCCCAGAGCCGAAATCGACACTTCGCTGCCGTTCGGGTCGGTTGAGGAGGCCGTCACCCATTTTGGTGGCCGCGGTTCTTGGAACCCACATCACTTTCTCCGACTATCTTCTCATCATGTGAGTTTTCTACATTTTTACCTCTTCTTTAAAAAAAATATTTCCCAATGTTTATTTTCTGGTTCAATATTTCGATTCTTTGTATAATATATTAATGTTTTTGTATAATTAATTAATCTTGTCAGTTATTTCTATATATTTTTTCTTCATGAAATGTTGTTTAATCTAGAGAGGATGAATGATTACATAGGTATAAATTTCAACAGCAATACAGTTTCTTTCATTTTCTACCCTTATGCTATGTTTGGTAGGAGGGAAAAGGTAAAGAAACAGAGTTTGCTTCCATTGTTTGGGAGAAGAGATGGAGAATAAGGAGGAAATGATGTACGAGACATTTCTGAACCTAACCATTTTCTTCTGTGGAAAAGTGGACAAAAGAGAAAAACGAAAAAAAGAGAGTATTTATTGGATAAAATTGCAAGGATGTTGTTACCTTCATGACTTGTATAACAAAGGGTATGATGCTACTAAAAAATTATTCATAATCTCTTTTTCTTCCTTTTGATTAAATAATAGGTCTATGTTGTTATTATAATAATAATCATGGAATTACCAAATCAATAGAAAATTTAATGTCATTTATAAATATATGGGAACAAGTCATATATAATTAGAACAATTACTTAGATTTTTTTTCTCTATCTGTATTATATACACTAATATATGAAAAAATAACTAATATTCGGGCTCTTAGACGTGAGCACGCGGATTTGAATCTTGAGAGCAACCACTTTTTATAATAATACCAAAGGTTAGGTCGGTACCCAATCTGCCATTTCCACAACACATTCGATTAACGGGACCAGACATAATGTCCCTTTTTTTCCCACCAGCTACCCGAAAAAGTGATATCATTGAATCACATGACCACTTGAGATAAGCAGCATGTTCATTAATGACTCACATGACATTTATGATACAAAATGGTCCATTTCTTTGGTGTAGAGATTGTACAGAATTTCCATTTCAGATGCATGTCCACGTTCCTCCTTGAAGGAGGGACCTTAAATTTTAATCTTTTGGATGTCCCAAAAGATACAATTTTGGACCCAATTAACCCCACTGATAATGGTCTTAAACACTAGTTGTATGTACCTTTCCATTTGGTTTGTTCGGATCTCGTTTGATCTTTTTCACTTAGTCTTTACAAAGATTGCATACATGGAAAATGAAATTTATTTACAGTTGTTGTTCAAAATTAGGAGGATTGTCAAGAAATCTTTTTATTGACATCACAATGATTGTATGCTTCGACTTCTTCAATTCATATCAATTTCTTCATCCAAATGTCCGGCCTGCCCCTAAATAATATCAACAATTGAGGTGTTATTGGGGGTTGAGGTTTCAAGTTATGTTTAACTATACACTTTATGATTTCGTGCATTAATATTAAGTTTAATAGCATAATGTTGAAGGATTAAATTTATAATTAATGCTATATAGTCTCTTGTTGATCCATAATTAATGTACAAAATGTCATGATGAGCAGAATGAGGTTGAGGAGTTTGACATAGAAAAAGTGGAGGAAGAGGCAGCTGAGTTGGAGAAGAATCTTATTGTGAAAGAAAGGGAAACACTTGATGTCTTGAAGAAACTGGAAGCGGCGAAAAGGATTGTGGAAGTGTTGAAACAGAAGCTAGTGAAAGAAGGGTATGAATGCATGGCAACCCCTGACTTAACTTCAGATAGCCAAGGATCAACACCTGATGATAAGTCCGCGGTGAGTGTCAGCTTGTATCCTGCTCCGTCTTCCGGTTTAATCTTAATGGAGTTGAATGAAGCAAAATCAAACCTCGATAGAACTACAAATGATCTTGCTGCTATTCGATCTTGTGTTGAGTCTCTAAATAAGAAAGTGATTCGAGAGAAAATTATGTCGGAGAAGAATGAGAACAGGCAAAAACCAAATTCTGCTGCAAGGGTGTTGTCTGTTGAAGAGAAGCTTAATAGAGAAGGAGTGAAGCTGCAGATAGCCAGTGACGATGCAGAACCTAAAGGCGGTCCTTGGCATTCTACAAAAGTTTCGAGGGAGCTCCAACAATTGAATTTTGAGTCTGACCAGTTTAGGAATATGGCGGAAGCTGCAAGATATGAGGTTATGAAGGCAATGTTGGAGATTGAGCAAACGAAGACGAGCATTACAATGGTTGAAATGAGGTTGATTGCTGCCAAAAAGATGGAGGAAGCAGCTAGAGCAGTCGAAGCTGTTGCTGCTGCTGAAATGAAGGTTCGATCAAACAACGAGAGCTCATTTGGGGGTTTCATGCAAAGGCCTGAGGGAATCACTCTTTCATATGAAGAATACTACACCCTTACCCAAGAAGCTCAAAAAGCTTATGAACTTTCTAAGAACAGAGTAGTGGACACCACACGGCATATTGACGAAGAAGCACATGTATCTAAAGTTGGTACTCCACAGAAATTGGAGGAAACAACCAAAGAATTTACACATGGAAAGAAGTCTCTAGGAGAAGCTCTCGGTAACATTGAGGTTGGAAATCGAAGAAAAGTTGTTGATGAAGAGGGCTTTTATAGAGGGAGATCAGAGCATGGTAAAATGAGACACTCAGGGCAGAACCCTACCAAGTTCAAGTTCAAGAATCCCTATCCATCTTACAGTCACCGGAATTCTCAGCAGCTTGACGGGAATGAATCAGATGTCTGCAAGGACAAATCTGAGCCGGTTTTGAGGTCAACTATTTCAATTGGGGATATACTGAGCAGGAAGCTGATTCTGCAAGATGATTTCGTGGTGGGAAAGCACATGGATGGTCATACTGATAGACAAGCGGTCTCTTTAAGTCAAATGCTTCGCGAACAAAGTGGGCTTATATTTTCTTCTACAAAAGCTGTAAAGGATGAAAGTGTTCACAAACAGTTCTTTGCACTAAGGAAGAAGTTTGGATTTATCCATGTATCATTCCCCTCCGCGAAACAAAGTAAGAAAAAGGCGTGAGCTTTAGACCTGAGGTAACTTGGTTGATAAACAAATAGTTCCCGGTCATGTTCTAACATATTCGTTTTTATTTTACTTGTTGGATTTATGTTTGCTAGTTTATGTTTCTGGCTTCAAGGTCTTGTTTTAGATGCTTTCATTGTAATGGTGTTTTGTGATTTATTGATTTATATATATTGTGCTGAGCCTTAACCAGGACTGATGTTGAATTTCCTATTACATGTGAGATGGCTCTGAAACAAAATGATGAAGTGGGATAATTCATAATTGTAATGAGAAGTGAAAATGGATAAGAGGAACTGTTACTAAATTTCTCTTTTATAAGGTGATAAGAAAAAAAAATGGTGGCAATGTAAAAGCTCTTATTTGGGATAGTCTTGAAGATGTGAGAGTACTTTAAAATCTAAGATTTGTTTCCCTTTCTGTTCAACTCTAAAATGCTTGCAAGCCTTTTTCTCTTCAACCTCCAAACAATCAGAAGATAATTAGACATCAACCGACAAGAATGTGAGATTTTATGATATGGTGGTCAAATATAACGGGTAGGCATTTACTTATTTACCTAAAAGCTCAATCTATTGGGTAGTGTTGTATACTCACTTATTTATATCCAATCACTTTTCCATCCGAATCCGATGTGGGACAAATAATCTTTGTAACATTAAACCTGAACCAAATGGAAGGCCACTCTTATATTTGATATTAGAGGGGAGGTTCCTGATATTTAGTCAATATGCAGAGAGATACGCGTAATTATTACTTATGCTCCGTTTTGGTTGGAGGAATAGAAAAATGGATGGAAGGTAAAGGGGGAGAGATAGATAAGGCATCTTAGGGAAAGGAAGGTGTATCCCTTGTTATTTTTTGGAATGTAATGAATAGTAGAAAGGAAAGATGGGATAACATATTTTTTGTTTAGTTGAAAGGAAAGGAAAGGAAATAGAGTTTTTATATTATTTTTGTCAATATACCATTATTGTAGGACTTTAACAAAAGAACTTTCATGAACAATTTTAGAAAAATAATTATATGTGGACGTCTAAACAATATGGATCACCTATATGTTTAAAAAATAACATTGATCACACTTGTTAATGTTGACTTTTATCCGAATATATTAAATGATAATTATACTCATTGTACTTCTATTAGCCCAATAATATAACCAAATGGTCAATACCCCCAAGCAGCGGGTGCAAACTCACCTTTTCAAAGGTGGTTGGGAGTTTGATTGCTTTCATATACTCATTTTGTCTCCCATGGATTTACAAACATGTGACTCACCATGATGCTGCAACCAAAAATCCAAATGACATTATTGATAATAAGTAGGATTCTACTTTTACATATTCTAGTAATTATGAAAAAAAAAAAAAAAAAACCAACTTTACATATTCTAGTGGGGCTTGGACTTCCTCCTTTTCTTACTTTTTATTTTTATTTTTAAAATTTTAAAGTTTCTTAAGATCACTGTTTATGTCGTCTCAACGAAAGTTTTATACAAACTGTCAAGTTAATTAACTCAACCCTCTTAATACATGGCAGACCGTAGACATGGATTTGGAGATAGAAATGATGATGTGGAGGATACCTTAAATTTTTCTTTGGAAATTAAAAAAACGACAAAAGAAAAAATCTAATCCTAAAGTTGCAATTTAAAAAAAAAAATAGAAAAATATTTAGGATTCCGTTTGTTTGAATGTAAAATATTTTTTAAAAAATATATATATTTTTTATTTTCTGGCTTGATTGTCGTAAAATATTTACGAATAAAAAATATATTAAAATTTTAAAGAACTTATTAATCAATTTTCGACAAGTTATTTTACTTGTCCCATTCGATAGACTCGACCTTAATCTCAAAATAGACATTTTCCAAATACCAAAAAATAAATATAAAATAATATTTTACTAGGAAAAAAAAAATTAAAAAAATATATATATTTTACTAAACAAACGACCCTTAATCCTGATTTTTTTTTTATTGCCCTAATTTGATAATCAAACGTTCATTTGGATCAACATCTACACAGCTGCAGTGCAGACTACAGATGAAAGACCTACCTAGTCTGTCCGTCTTATAGAATTGAATGAAGCTAACCTCCAAAACTTAATAAGAACATCCAAACAAAGTAACTCCACCGCCAAACTTTCCAGGAAAATTTTCTCTGTTTGGGCCAAGATCCATGTTTTGTTACCTCAAGGGGCTTCAAGCCTTCAAATCAATCCAACCCACATCAACTACAGTGGTCTTCTTGGTTTGTGCTCTATATCTAAATTCCAAAAATGCCCTCGAACAGGATGTATCTAGCTAATCTTGAAAATACACATGTTATGTGACCCTTAAATGCCCAAATTAGTAGTATGACTGGTGGTATGTTCAATTCAATTTCAAGGGCATTTAGTCCACTATGTTTCCTTTAATCCACACATATAGTGACACGTGTCCCACCGACGTTCAGTGAGGTTTACTTGTCATCTTTCTATTGGTCAATAAGCATTTTCAACTTTTTCACTTAAATGCGCGGCACTTTTTTTTGGCCTTTTCTAAATCTTTTTTCAATTAGCATATAAAAGTGCACGTTCCGCGCTAAAAATGTTAAGCGCAAGTTAGCGAATAAGCAAGCGTCGGCTAACATGCGCCGTTGTGTTGTCTCGTGTCTTCTAACGAGAACCGAACAATTAAAAAAAGAGAACCACAGCTTATCGTACGCTTGAGGCGCATGTTATCACGAAAGAGTAAAGTGAACTCCTCTGCTAACTTATGTCCCTACCATATATAGATACATAAGCGAAATTGAAAAGGTTACAGAGCTTTCAAGTGTTGCTTTCAATGGCGAATCCGCCAAGGACTCGGAAGAGGGTCCACGCAATTCGTCGAGCTCCTGATGGAAGCGCCTTCGATAAATGGTATTTACTTTCTCTCTCTCTCTCTCTTCCCTGTTGTGGGTTCATGGATTTTGAGTTCGTTTTGGGTTTTGGGTACGTTTGCATGTGTATTTGCAGCCATTGCTGTGGAGTTGTAGTGGCTATTGCTCTTGCTGACATGCACGAGTGTGAATCCGAAAAGGGTGCGAAGAGAATCAAAGGAGAAAGTGGGAATCAAAATTACACAGACCAGAGGTTTCAAGACCAACCCAGATCGCCTTTTCTCTTTTTCATGTACACCCTCTTCTTCTTTCACATATATATATATATATATATATATAATGTAATGTTGGTATTTGTAATACATGTGCATATGAACATGTGTGTTTGCATGTATTTATGTGGTATGTATCTATTGATTTGAACATAGTATTTTAAGTCCTTCATTGCATGAAGCCATGTACATTTGCGTTCAATCATAATAATAGGTGTTTTTATTTTTAGGTCTAGCTATATTTTGTTGCCAATCATGGTTTTAATAGTTGCAATTTAGTGAAATCCAAGTGGAATTGAGAGAAATGTTGTGTATTTTAAGAAAATCATTTCTAATCTAGTGTTGTTTTGTAGGGAAAGCTTTGTGAAGACATGTGTGGATGGAAATTTGATTGATGTTGATAGGAAAGGGGTTGAAACATGGAGGAAGATGTCAAAGAAGGTTTTTTTTTTTTTTTTTTTCCCCTTAGGAGTTCATACTTGTCGTGGCTAATTATATATATCAGTGCATTGATTTTATAATCTTTTTACTTGTCTTCTTTGAAATATGTTAGGAGAGGCTACCATATGTTCTTCAGGCTCAGAAGGTGAATTCAGATTACGAGAATGCTTTGCTTAAAGAGGTTGAAGATATGTCGTGGGTAATTTGACTACAATCGATATTGATGTTGCAAATTTATGGATTTTAAAATTTGATAAACTTCTTTTGGTTGCAATTGTACAAGGACATATGTAATTTTAATTCTAATCATGATGTAGAACTGTAATTGTTATTTATGTGTCGTGATTCACAATTTACGCGGTCATCTAAAATATAATTTTGAATGTACATTGAAAGCTTTGCTTGGATAATGATATGTAAGGGGCTAAATGATGGAAATCATGATACATACATTAGTTTCTATTCCAAGAGTCCTTATTTACGTAGTAGATTATGAACTCATTTGTTTCTGATTTATGTTTATGAGGTACTTAATAAGAAACTTGTAAATTCTTTCTGTTTTCTGTGTTGCATGGTTTTTTGTGATTAAAATGTTTGTTCATATTCAGCAATCATGTGATCACTGCAACTGGTAAAATCTTCTAGTTTTTCTTTTTTGGTAGATTTGTCTTTGCTAAGCCCTTATGTTTTCCGCAATGTGCATTAGTCTTTTTCGTTCCTGACCTTGTAATTCCCAAATTTATGTACTTTCAAGTTGTTGGCAACAGAAACTTTGCCCTATTTTCTAAATTTGAGGTTTCTCAAATGATGAGATGATATTTTGTAGGTAGATGATGAGGCAGATTCAGCAGAGGTTGGGAAGCATGATAAGGTTTGTCTATGTCCTATGCTTTTAATTCAGAATTCTAATCTGCTTGTTTGTTGGATTCTTAGTCTTTTGGCTTTGATTTTCTTTTAATTTGTTTGCCTGATTTTCCAATTATTTGTGTTTGAGTTGATAATAGGGTTACAATGACTATCAATACTATGATGATTCTGATGGCTATGAAGGCTTCTGGTCAGAAAGTTGTGAGAGCTTGAACACCTATGAGTGGTACTCCTCTCTCTCTCTCGTGTGTATGTGCATTCGTTGATGTGTTATTGTCTGCTATAGCATTTTATTTGGATTTGATGACTGGTGGTTTATTTTACACCAAATGATTTCACTTTGTCAAGATTTCGTTTCCTTCATCTTTATGATTTGATATCACATTGTTGTTCTACATTCTAATATTTAAGACGCTATTACTCAGTTGCCTAATGTTGCTTTCTGCCAATGCTGCCTAACTTCTGGTGTTTAGTTTAAAACAGACCTGCTCTAAACTCGAATTTGTATGCAGTCTGAGCTTTCACAATGGTGCTTGTATTTTAATACTAGTATACTGAAATTTTCCTCGTGAGACAGGGAAATGTTACGCCCATGGATTACTGCTAAATCTCGCTGAGGATTGAAGATCACACTTGATGTTCCACTTTTTTAAGTTCAACATTTTGGACCAACTGGACCATCCAATTGGCAATGGTGAAAATCTAGATGGTGACATGGTGAGAGATTTTTCGCCATTAGCTACCGTCTCAGAGGCAAGTCGTTTGGCTATCGTAAAGTAACATTAGAAGTTTAGGATTCTAACCGATGGTTCCCTGTTTTCCCTTTTAGAATTCACAAAGGTTTTTTTGTATGTTATGGTTCTTGCCTAAGTGAATTCTCCGAGATTTGTGAGGAGACCTGGTTTTTTCAACAGATGCTTTTGTTAATGTTCTTGTTTTTGGTACGTTGCTCTCTCCTTTAGTAATATGGTCTGTATGTGGAGCAAATGATGTTCATGACCTACCCATGCATTTAGAAAAGATGCAGTGACTCCTATTGTAAATTGTTATGGACCAAAACCTAACTCTATATATCAAGTGTTTGAACAAATTCATTTGACTTGAACCATTGTGCTGCAAGGGACAATATCAATGATCTTGTTAGATTTCACTCTAAATTACATGGCTGGACCCTTGGTCCTTCTTGTGTGTTGTGTGTGTGGTTATGTTGATTACTGACCTAAATTAAATCCTGATATTTGATACGGAGTATTAAAGCTAGGCTTAGGAGTTTTTTCTCGGTTCCGATTAGTCATTTTCGAAGACATGACAACGAAGTGGTCCACATGATGGCAAAATTCTCCAAACCCCATAGTAGCAGTAGTTGAGTATATTCCAAATCATATTCAGTTACGTGTTGTTAATGATTTATCCCTTTGAACGTGGTGGGATGTTTGTTTGCCAGGAAAAAACAAAGAGTTGGTGGATGGGAGGCATTCAGTTCATTTTCGCAAATCTTGCTTCATGTGAACTGCAAAACCACTTGGACTTTATCGATAAACTTGAAATGATCAAAATGGAGGGGGAAACAAACTAGTGTTTGTGGACAAAGTTATCTGGATAATACAATTAATTTGGTTAGTTCATCTAATTGAAGAAGGCAAATCAATCAGCATACTAGACCAAATACTTCTAAGAATTAAAACAGAATTGTGTGCATTGTTGTCACTTGCCTCTATAAATATTATTGTTACATTTTCTTTTTTTTTTTCTTCCTTATATTCCAATTTTGGACTGGATAAGTTTATTTAACCAAAAGATCTAAAATTAAACACTCACAACTCATAAAATTAGGTATTTGAGAAGACAACCAAAAAAGGTTGGCTAATGCCTATCCAAGCTTATCTACATGTTAGTGGATTTTCTTCACTCAAAATATTCAAGTTAAATTATCGAAAAAAATAATAATTACCAAAAAAAGAATTCAAGTAAATGCCGAAGGAGTTAAATCTGTATTTTCAGAATGATGCCTTTTTTCATTAATATTAAAATAATTATCAATTAAAACACTTTTCCCTTTCTTTTTCTTTTATATATCTTTCTTTTTCACATGCATGCATATTAAATACAAAAATAAAAAAATAATAGAGTACAATGGAGCCCCTGAATCGGATTTATTTTGGGCTTTTCATTTTTAGGAGCAATGGTAATGGGCTGAGGCCCAGACCCAAAATATAGAGCTTCGCTGCTACTGCTGCTTCTACGAGCTTCTTTGCAGAGAGTTTTCCTCAGGAAGAAATGGAGTGTAGTCTCACAAACTCGTCTCTCATACCATTCAATCCGCCGTCGTTTCAACCGCTTCGAGATTCTCACTTCTCCACAAAGCTTCGATTTCCGGTTGGTTACCCTTTCTTTTCTCTTCAATCTTTTATTTGTATATATCTTCTCCGATTACTTTTTAATTGTAGCTTTGATTTTGAAAAACAGAGATTAAAGCGTTCAAGCCCGTCAGAGCATCGCCATAATCATCTCCATATATGTTACGCTTGTGGGTCTGGCGATAATGGGTCAGTTAACGACTTTCCAGTCATCCCAAACAAAATTTTCATGGATGAGGTACTTTGTTTTATTTTATTTTGGGTATGCTGAAAGCTAATTATCTGATTTTGATTTCTGGGTTGCTTTTGAATTGCACTCTTTCTTTTCCCCCTTTTTGAATACATATAAATTGATGAAGTTGGTGATGCTTAGGTGACTAGGGTTTCTGTGTATTGAATTCTATTGTTGATGAAGTTGGTGATGCTTAGGTGACTAGGGTTTCTGTGTATTGAATTCTCTTGCTTACATGTATTTGTTTTTGGAGCTAATTTTGGTCAATTGAATTCTTCTATATCTTCAATTGTATTGTCAGACAATTGGAGCTGAATACGGCGAAGGTTTTGAGACTTTCAGACCTGATGGACCCCTTAAGGTTGATGTGGTAAGCAATGAAGATAGTTTTTGGGTGCATTAAATATACATACAAATACATAATATATATAAATACACTTATATTTGTTATGCATATATTCTGTAAGGTTATATATTCTGCAAGCTATTTGTTATCCATGAACCCCATGTATTCTGTAAGTTTGAACCCTGTGGACATGGTTGTTAACTTGCTACAGGATTTTCTAAACGATAAATTGCAAGAAGGTTTTCTCAAACGAATTCGCTACGCCATGAAGCCCGACGAAGCATATGGACTTATTTTTTCTTGGGACAACGTAGTGGTAAATTTCTCAAACTTTATTCATGTAGGTTCAACTTAATTAAGATAATACATTTCCTAACTAAATTAGGGATGGTCATGTGAGTTTGAATTTTCAATTAAGACTTGATTAAGACCATATTTTTTCCTACCTAAATTGCGGAGGGTCATTTGATTTCGAAAATACAACCCTAGCAACCCAAACAGTCATAAGAACTATGTTGTTGGCTCTCTCTCTCACTGTGAGAGGTGGATGGTTAAAAATGAGACATCTTCTTAACATCTTATCTACCTTCTAGAACTCCCTACACAAATATCTACAACCCTACAAAACGCCCTAAACTAGTAGAATATTCTATACACTCTGCACATATCTACAAGCTCTCCAACATTCTAGAATCTTCTAACTCTCTCTATTACTTTATAATCCTCTACACAACACTGGAAGACTCTAGAACTCCACTCTCCTCACGTCATGTACATGCCATGTAGATTCCTCCTCAACACTTATGTCTTGCCTGTGTGGCGGAATATCCCTGCAAATTAAGGGGGCGTGAAAAAATGCTAGTCAACACTAGCCTTTTCTTCTTGCCTGTTGGCCTTTACTTCACCACAAGTAGTTAATGCCCAACAAGCAGCCAAATAGCATTTTGGCAAATTTTAAAAAGTAGGACACAGACACGACAGGGATTCCTCAAAAAAATAATAATATAATATACTATTATATAAACAAAAAATGATTCAAAAAAATAATAATAAAATATACTATTATATAAACAAAAAATGATATTTTTTTTTTTTTAGTTTATTTTATCTGCATTATCATGAATGTAATCACTAATTTACAACTTGGAGTTATATTACTTTTGTTTTCTAGAACTTTATATTAATTTTCTAATTAACCTGTTATATGTTTTAAAATTACATTGGAATCCCCTTTTTCTAAAAAAATAATTGGAGGATTGTCCTGTCAAGTCCTGAAAGTGTCTCACATGTGTCGTCGCCACGTACTTGCCATGTCCAAGCCAATATATATATATATATATATATATATATATATATATATTAGGACACTTCTAATCGTATTGAACACATGTCGGGCCACGACACCCCCAGAGGAGTGTCCGTGCTTCCTAGACGTTGAGTAGATACTTCCAAAGGTCACCACTTGAGCTTCTTTCTATCCATTGCTTACAAACTTTCAATAGCTTGTCCACCAAATATCCAATCATATGCAGCACTATCCTTAAGCTTCTTACAAGGTTGTTCAAATCCAGTTTCACTTTATTAATCTTATCATTAGTGCTATAATAACTACAAGGAGCCTTTCTAAGACATTGTAAGTTGCATTTAGATTGATTGTTTTTTTTGTTTTTTTTCAAAATTGGTGTTTGAAAATACCATGCCTTATATTAAATATCTTCTTATTTTTTTCATTGGCTAGATGCAAAATGCCTAAAGGCGCGTGAAGAACCCGAAGTACACATTTATTACACCTTAAGATTAACACCTTGTGAATTAAAGGAACTGTGACTTTTATAACAGACTGAGGAACTACAGCCCATGTATCATTTGCTTTTAATTTTCACATTAGGTGATTATAGGAGGAAAAACCACTGCTATAGATTCAGTCCAATAGGACAAGAAAAGTACCAGAAAAAACTCAGGTTCAAGCAGTTGATGAAGATCCTAGAGCTCTCAACAATAGCAGAAGATGAATAAGGGACTTTATGTTGTATATAGATAGAATAACATTCAATACGTCATATAGGTACATAGCTGGACAACATTGATAAGTTTTTGTATTTGTTGTTATTTTATATTTTGTATACATACAAACTACTCTATCGGGATTTTGAGACCATGTATTTGCATATTTAATGTGTTTCAGGCGGATACTCGAGCTTTGAAGGTGAAAGCTTGGGAACAACTTGCCTTTGAAGAGGGTATGTAGCATGTTCACCCCTTGAAATGGCTTCACTTACTAGAAGTAAATATTACTAGATCTTGTAAATCAATGGATGTGCATATTTTAAATTTTTACATAAGCATGTGTTAGCAATTGTGAAATTAGGTATTGTTGTCTTCATTGCTTGAGAAATAGTAAAACTTGAAAAGGTTTGCCCGAGCATGGTTGAGATCAAACAAAAAATTACAAATCTTCATGCCGAATCCACATTCTTTGGAAGCGAAAGATCCCGGGCCTACAAGTATTATAATCTGCTAAGGAGATTACCAGAGGAAAAGTGATCATATGGTTCTCTAGGCAAATGGTCAAATGCCATTCATATAGAAGCAGTCAGTCCCCATTCAAAAGGATTTTGTCTAGTCTGCCCTAGATACAATGTTGACCAGTTTGATTATAGCTCCAAGTCAATTTGCTGTCATTGAAAGCCCTATTGAGAAATCCACACGAGCAAATCATAATTTAAAAGCTCATTACTTCAATAAAGGCACTGAAGTCAGAAGGCTGCCCCCCTAGTGTTTTTTTTTTTATTTTTATGGATCCACATGAATCTTTTTATGTAGATTTGTCTTGGTCCAGTTACTAAGTTTGTTGTCAAAATCCAGTATTCAACATTAGAGTATCAAGAGTTGTCCGTAACAATTTATAAATTCTTCATTTGTATAAAGTTATTGTCATTACATTTGATCAATATATATATTTTTAATTGAAATATATATCGACTTTAGATTATATTTTTGCACAGAATGTTAAAGGGCAGAAGCGTTATTTATTTATTCATTTATGGTCACCAGGGAACCTGGTATTATTTTGGTATAAAAAATGGAAGAGTTATAGAAGATTCATCTTAAAGTGTATGGTCACATAAAATAATTAAAAAGGATGTGATTATGAAGAACGAAGGCAGACAGCAAAATTACTCAAACACTGAAGATTATATCTAAGAAATTACAGCAAGAAAAGAGACCACAAGCTGTTCGCTTGACTTTTTTACTTCAATTGGATGTGCATCGTTCATGTGCCGATTGAGAACACATGTATGGTGAATTTACCAAAAATGGAAATGAAAAATATATAAATAAACAACAGAAGAAAATAATAACAAATCGAGTATTTTCCTTAAATTCTCTCGTATAACTTTTGGTTGTCCCACTGACCACTAGAAAATAGGTGATGGCACTACTTGTTAGAGACACAGAGACAGGAAAGGGTAGAATCTTCTTTATTCTATTAAATTGTTGGATTACGAGGATAGCTGTGGTTTGGATCCGCTTCTTCTTTTTTTTCATCTTTTTTTGGGGAAATTGTTTGGATCCCCTACTGTTTTTTTAACTGAAATCTTAATAGGATCTTTGAATTTTTATTAATTAAAATGATTAGAAAAGTTTAAAACTTCATTTTGCATAAAAGTGGTATATTTAAAAACTCTACCACTGACAAAAGATAAGTTCCAAATGTTTGGCGACAAAATAGATACTGGTTTTGTATTCATAAAATAGGAATCTCAACCTATTCACATCTGACTTCAACATACTTCTTTCTCTTGGCTTCTTTTCTTCCTCTTCTGCCCGATTGCCTCCTAGTTTGTTCTTCAAGCCATAGATCAGAATCAACAAATTGTACTCATGTAAGCATTCACTTTAATTTGTGACAGCTTGTTCAACTGCATCCAAGTCACACTGTCTGGGTCGACCGGTTAGCTTAGTAAATGTGTTTTCTGATGGCAACTAATCAAGGTACTTGGGCACTTCCTATGAAGAAAATAGGTGGTAAAGGTCATAATGATGGAATTTTCAACTCTCATTTATTCATTGGTCCATCATGTGCATGCGCTTATGCACAATCTTGCATTCTTTTCTTCCTCAATCATCACCAGCTCTACTGGACCAACCAACTTGCCAAAGTTTTTTCCTTAACTGTTTGAATTAGTGACATGAGTTGTTTCTGTGCTTCTGTCCAAGGTCATTGTATTCACAAATTGGTGTTGTCTATGACAATGTCTTCCCGTATTCTTCTTTCTATTTTGCTCTGTATTGTACCATCTCCATCATTAAGTCATTGACCGCAATATTGTCTCAAACCTCACCAATTTTGACTTTTGTTATCCTCATTGTCAATGTCGAACCTTCGACCAAAGTGACATTCATTGCCAATCCCCTTATGCAATATTTATATCACCACTCCATAAAGTAAGCTTGGAAAATGTTAACTTGACCTCCACTACCTATGTATTAAAGCATGTTCGAGCAATTCCACGTCTAGCAAGGGACCTTCCACCTGCATTTAGCCATAGGGGTCCAGCCGTCCAGTGCTAGCCTAGTGGTGACTTTCCAGGAAACTTATAATAAAGCAATTGGCTACCAAATTCCCTTTTTGTGTTGTTTGACTACGTCGGACTTAAAAACATTATAGATTGTTAAGCACTTAATAACCTAGCAGTGACTTGCTAACCTACGTCAGATTGTGAAGCATTTATAGCATTGTTTAGACTCATTAATGGATGTTCCCCAACCTAAAAATTGTTTGTGCCAATCTTCATTTTGATACAGTACATCCATATCATTTTATATTTTATATTTTTTTTCCTTTTAAAATTTGACTGTGTACGATTTTTTTTTTCTCGTGAATGCCGAGAAGTCAATTTGTGAAAATAATTTTGATGCTTAGGTTTTTATCCAAACCACTCTTCCCAGCACCCTTGATTAAGGGGAGCGTACTGGGAAATGACTTTTTATGATTTTTCTTTTACACACACCACCCCCCCCCCCCCCCCCCCCCCCCCCACCCCCAAGTTTGATTGTCTTATTGTTTCTCATACAGGTAAGAAGATTCCTCAAGATGGTGATGCACAAAGACTGTTGCTTTATGCGGATGCCGATCATGTTTTCCGTCAGGTTTGGGAATTAATGATCATTATAATTTTTGGTTTATTTTTTCTGTTAAAATTATTATGATTTAGTGGGTTGTTTCAGAAAGAAACTTTTTGGGAGACTGAAGTTCACTATTTAGCAAAGTTCTACAAGATCTCTAACAGCTAGTCTTTCAATCTGTACTTGTATGGTTATGGGGCGTCTTTGGTCTATTAAAGCTACATAAATGATCATTACTATTTAGATTTTGCTATGGCAATATTAGACATTGCTATGGCAATATTAGACATTGTTTATTTGAAGAAATTTAATATCATATTGCTCTCAAATTAACATTTATAATGGATGACAGAGAAGTAAGAAAACCTGAATAAGCTTATCAAGCAATATTTATAATTATAATTATAATTGTAATAATTATTTATTATTAGTACTATTTTTTTTTTATAAGTATTATTAGTATTATTATTGTGTTGTTGTTGTTCCTGATCTCTTCCCGGTTTCTCTCTTGCACGACATATTTTCTTCATACTTTGATTTCTCCTCCCGGTTTTTATCTATCATAGTTATGCTCCTGATCTCTTCCCAGTTTTTATCATGCACGACATATTTGTTCTTACTTTGATTTATGTATCGTAGATCATATGTATAATGTTATAATTTTTTTGTGAATAAAAAGGCCTGTTATTTTTGGATGCTAGATTCGATTGAGTCACACGAACCGTGTCCTGTTTATTTATTGTGCATGCATCACCACTGTCGGCTTGTGTAGTTATTTTCCTCCTTGCTTTTTGGCTATATAATTTACTCATTAATTTCAATTAAAAAGAAAAGGAAAATGGTTTCATAGCAAGTTCAATCTGCAATCAAAGTACTGCAGATTGAAATATAAATCTGGAATTCCACTTTCCTTGCCAATACCTTGTGATGCTGCTATAGGAAAGACCTCATCTGCTTCTTTTACTTTTTCGTCATTTATTTAAGAATTTTTTTTTCCCAGTCAACCATTGCTTTTGTAACCGATCCCAGATATCACTAGTCTTCAACAACTTTCAGGTTTTGCTCTGGGAGAATATCGAAAGTGATTTGGATAGATTGAAGCTGAGGCTTTCGCAATTATATTATGACAATCTTCTGAAAGTGAGAGCTTGCCTTGGATGATTATATGGATTTATGTTTGCGACTTAAATACAATAATTTAATATTAATATTAATGATCTTCTTCACCTCCTCTCCTTCTTCAGCTTTCGAGACCCATGGAGGGGCTGGAAGAATGGCTGGATGCAGTATCTACAGCTCGCATCCCTTGCGCTGTTGTTTCAAGGCTTGATCGGAGCAATATGGTCAAAGCCTTAGAGAGGATGGGGCTTAAGAAGTATTTTCAGGTTGGTGATTTTTTCTTGTCGGAGTTGGAATCTTTTCCCTATATATAATATTCTTGGAATTGCACATTATGATGGAAATGTGCAACAGTGTAGAGCTATGTTGTCCCAGAAAGTTTTCAGATATTTAAATCATGAAAATACATCTATCTAATTGCTTGTCACCATTCTTCTACTTTTACCTACCACTTAAAAACAATGGATTGTACCTTTATTACTCACAATTCCAACCGCATTCTGATGCTTCTTGCAATGTTAATCTTAGATGTCGCATCAAGCACATTATTTCTATAACAAATATTCTATAACTATAAGAGATCTGGCGGGTCAAGTTGACTATTGACTGATCTGATGGGCTGCAGGGATCCTTAAGATGGATACAGATGGATCTTAAGAAATTGCTAGACCAAATGGAGCTAACATAATTCTTTGCTAGTCCACGTGCGTAGCACTTAAGCACACCATTTATGCACTTGCTGACCATTCTCTTTTGGAGTTGCAGGCAATTGTATCTGAGGAAGATGGCATGGAGTCCATTGCTCATAGATTTCTTTCTGCGGCCATGAAGGTATGATTTAGAACATGCCATAAAAAACATTGCATCATAAATGTCTTCTGTTGGGGAAAAAACAGTTGACTGCTTGTAAATGTTTTCTTTTTTCTTTTTTCCCTAGTTGCTTGCAAATGTTAGTATACTTGATTTCACTTGTTTGGAAATGGATAAAGTACCACTAACTTAATTCTTTAAATATAGATATCCTTGATTATGAAAACATTCTAGAAAAGGAATGTTGTCAAAGTTAATATAACAGAGATAATCAAAGATCTAACTTTTGAAGTTAATTTTATTTCTTGTGGTTCTTTGACTCTTGCAGTTGGACAGGAAACCATCCAAGTGTGTTGTGTTTGAAGATGATCCTAAGGGTGTCACTGCTGCTCACAATTGCACAATGATGGCAGTAGCACTGATTGGTGCTCACCCAGCGTACGTACTTGCACTTTTAGTTTGAGGTGTTTGAATTTTCATTGAAATTGAAACGCTCAGATATGTTTGATGATGCCCCGTGTTTCCCTTGGTATACTTGTGTAATGAATATTCAACAAATGATTTGTTCATTTAGATGCTTTGGAAAACAAAATGTACGATTCCCTTGCTATTTGATGTCCAATGGTGAAATTATTGCTCGAAATTCTTTTATGGGCTTATTATAGAATAAAGAACGATTGTGAAATTTTATACATCGTGTTAAAAATTTACATTGAAAATATTGAAACATGCAGGTACGATCTAGTGCAAGCTGATCTCGCGGTTGCCAGCTTTAATGAGCTTTCCGTGATCAATCTCCGGAGGTTATTTGCTCACAAGGGTTCCTCATTCATGGATCTGCAAAAACAAATAGTTGAGAAATCTCCTCGAAGAAGGAAGCTTACTATTGACACCATTTTCTGATTCATTTCCAACCCAGCATTCTTTTCTCCCCTCTTATGTAATTTCCTCCTTGTAATTATGCAGCAAATTATCTTACTAATTCTTTTTCTGTTACTTTTTTGTTTTTTTTCACATTATAGACATGAGTGAGAATGTGAGATGAGATGAATACAAAATTTGTCATGTAATTAAATCCCATTTCTTAATTTTAGTCAGAATGCCAACAGATGTTACCATAGCAAACAAAAATCCAGATTAGTTATTAGATTTTTTGATGTAAATTTACTGACTGACGGATATCATTTTATTTTTGGGGTGGGCAGTGCAGACTGGAAAGTAATGTTATTGATAAAATTTATTCTTTGTGAGTTATCATGTAAAATCGAGTGAAATTTAAATATATTTGACATTCCATCTAGGTCTTAGTCTTGTGGTATGAGGATTTTCAGTTATCATAATTTATGCATTACTTAATTCATAGTCATTAATGAGATGCTGAAACCTTGGAGCATCAAACAGCAGATATTTCCAGATTCTGAAAATATGGTGCTTCTTTTGTTGTTGCTTGGTGATAAAACTCAAAATTGATTTGCATTGGCAATTGTTTATGTGGTTAGGGTGAGGGTGGGTCTAAGGATGGCCGAGAGGTTATTCCATACAAAGCTCGAGGTTCTGCTCGTGACAACCCAAGTCCCGAGGAATCCATTGTTTCTCAACCCGATTGCGGTGGAGAGAAGAGAGTTTATAGTTGGAACTGGCCTTATGGATTCATGTTTATGGGAGGGAAAGGGTGGAAGAAAGAAATGTGTGGAGGGAAAAGAAGTGATAGGGTTTGCGTGGTTGGTTGATAGGAGAGAAAGGGAGGAAGGTGGTATGAAGGGATAAGGGAGCTCATCATATGGAAGGGAAAGGGGAAATGGGTTTTTGGGGAAAAAGGGAGGGAAAGGAAAGCATTTTTTTCCTTTTCAATGTTTTGGTCCTTACAAATCACCTTTAATATTAAAGCTATAATAATAAAGTTATAGTAATATCTTTTTTTTTTTTTTTATTTCCTTCACATTTAACCAAAAGAAGAAGAATATAATGAATTAACCTTTACCATTTTAGGTAAACATGACTCAACCTTGAACCTTTACTTAAAAGGTCCACACGGCGTCGGTTTGTGTGAATTAAATTTCACACATAATTGACATCAATTTTTTTTAATAATTAAACTTACAATAAGGAGGTAGTAGAGAAATTTAACTTGGAGGATAATCATCTTTATTGCAGACTTAAAAGAAGCATATCATGTTTTGATCTATAATTCACGTAAACCGATGCTGTATGGATCTATGGTAAATGTACACACACTTATGTATAACTAGAAAATCGCCGCGTGCAATGCATGTAAATAAAAATACATATTGAATAATTAATTGGTATTTAATATATAATTATATCTCAAAATAAAATAAAATTGACTTCAATTTTAAATCTTTCAAAACAAAAAATAAAAGAAGAAATTTCATCATGGAAATGTTGACTAACTAATAAAAATAACTTAAAATTGTATTTAATTACAATGACTCTTTTTACCAGCAAAATTATTTTGAATTGATATTTAATATTTATTGTTGAATTTTACTGGATGATGATGTGACTTTTTCTAATGACTCATTTGTTGATATCATGTTAATGTTGTTATTTACTTCATGATCATTTAGGTTTAGTAGTTGAATTGAAAATGTTAGACAATTGATATTTTAATTGTTTTATCCGACATTTATGTCCTTTGTGAAAGGTTGTGTTATTTGCATGAACGGTTGTGTCATAATTTCATTTGATAATTGAAGTAAATTTATTTAAGTTAGTATTAAATTAATAAAAATGTATACAAATAGAAAATAATTTAATGTGTAACTATTAAAGTATTAGAAGTGTTTGCATTAAGAAGATGACTTTTAAAAAGGGTTATAACTTTTAAGTAGTTTTTTTTTTTTTTTTTTAAGTCACGTAATTTGTTTATTTAAAATTAAAATAGCTACTTTAAAAGTGTATGTAAATACAATAAATCCAATTGACTTTAATAAAGAAATTTATAGATATAAAAAGAAAGAAAATCTGATGACTCCAGCAAATTAAAATTAAAATTAAAAGTTGGCAACACCCCAAATATGGTAATTCCAACAGTTTATAAGCAACTTTTATCCACTTTAAAAAATTTTTATAAAAGAAGTATACTATATTAGTAGACAACAGACTTGAAACTTGAAAATAGAATGATATATTCAAAGAGAACATGAAGGAATTTTTTTTTTTTTTTTTTTTTTTTCTTCTTCTTCTTCTTCTTTCTTTTTTCTTTTCTGAAATTAATTGAAAATTTTGGGACTCTCTAATCATTTGTAGAGAAAAGACCAGTGACAATTGTAATCTTAATAACTGGTGCATTTTGAAAATTATCGTTGTGGAATGTTAACGTATATAATTTTGTAAAACAGTTTTAATTAAAATGAAAAATTACGTTTATGTCGATGATTAAAATTAAAAAACTGTTTAAAATGTATAAATTGATAGCATGTTGAAATATATATATGTGTGTGTGTGTGTGTGTGCGCGTGTGTGTGGCCCGTGTGGGGGAGAGATGAACGTAGAAACCGTAAGAATCGTTTCAAATGAAAGAGTTCACAGCACCAAATTTTTTTTACTCCAATAATAATAAAATAGAATAATATTTTTACAGTATTTTTTTTTGTCCTAGAAGCTTAAAGTATGGGACTCTCTAGACACGATAGACATCTTAACCGCTGAAAATCGCCGTATTAATGTATAGACTTGAAAATAGAACAATATTTTTGCAGAGTCTTTTTTATTTTTTTCACCCTAAAATCTTAAAATATGGGATTTTGTAGCCATATATAGACGAAAAACATAACATCTTAACGGCTAAAAAATACCGTATTAACGTATATAATTTTGTAAAACTATTTTAACATAAACATTTATTTCTTATATTAAAATTGGGCATAAAAATGTTAAGGAAAATAAGAAAAAGAAAGAAGAATGTGAATCGTTTCAAAGAAAGAGTTAGGCAACACCCAAATCTCATGACTCCAACAATTTTAACAGCAACTTTTATAAACTAAGAATAACATTTTTGCAGAGGGAAAGACGATTTTTTTTTTTTCCTTGTGAAATCTTAAAATATAGGACTCTCTACATATATATAGACCACAGATAACTCTTGACAAGAGGTATCTTAACAGTTGATGACTTTTGAAAATTATCGTTATACTTTTTAATACGCAATGGTTTAAAGAGGTGTTAACCAAATGTCAATTAACTTTTCTTTTAACGAAAAATAACTTTATAAAATGTATATAAATATTATAAATTGAATACACTTTTATAGGGTATATAGATTAGGGGTGGCAAACAGACGGGTTGGGTCGGGTTTGGGCAAGGTAAAAAATGGGTAGGTTAAATATGAATTGTAACCCATATTCAACCCACTTATAATAGGTTAAATATGAGTTGGGTTAAAATGGTTCAGGTCAACTCGTCATAACCCATCAACCCATTTTAGGGAAAAGAAATGTCATTATTCTAAATAATCTCATTATTACGGGAGTAGTACTGTTTTTTCTTTTTTTTTCTTTTTAGACGGATAAAAGCTTGTAAAAATATGTATTAATAAGTGTAAATCTTCTACTTTATTTTGGAAATTTTTTTAAATTTATATTATTTTATTTTATGACTAGATATACATGAAGGTAAGAGAGAGAGATATATATATATATATATATAGGGTAAAGTGCATTAAACCCCCTTAAACTATTGGTCATTTGCAAGAAATCCCCCTGAACTACAAAAAACCTCCCTGAACTATGATTTTGTTGCAATTTATCCCCTTGAACTATTGGTCATTTGCAAGAAACCCCCCTGAACTACAAAAAAACCCCCTAAACTATGATTTTGTTGCAATTTACCCCCCTGAACTATGATTTTGTTGTAATTTACCCCCATGACATCAGCTTTCGACACCAAAAATTTTGAAAGATCAGTTTACCTTTATAACACACTGCGTCGTTTTAACTTATACACTTCTTACATTTTTTTTCCTGCCAAAAGATGTTTTTCACCAAATACAACCCAAAACAGAGAGCTAGAGAGAAAGAGAGAGAAGAGACCAAAGAAATCCGAGGTCGGCAGGATGGCTCGGTCTCAAATGATGGCGGCTTGTGCGCAGAGGACTCGGCCGTGATGAGAGCTCGGTTGACTCGGTCGTGAACTGTGGAGGCTGCAGCGAGCTTAAGGGGGCTCGGCGGTGAACTGTGGACGGCTATGTGCTTGAAATACGGACGGCGGTGTGCTCGGCTATGGAGATGGCGGAATGGGCTGGCGAGCTTGGAATGGACGGTGGACCGGCAAGCAAGGTGAGTTAAACGGCGGGCAAGGCGGTAATGGTGATGGGCTGACGCAACGATGCAGAGAAGTGTGATATATATGGCCGACGGATCTGGCGGGTGGTGCAACGGCTATAATGGAGCTATGACAGGAGACCCACCATCCCAACAACAAATTCCTCGGCTTCATCGTCCCTTTCAGTCAATCAATTCGCGCGAATAGGGTAAACTGCAAAAAAATATATAGTTCATGGGGGTTTCTTGCACATACCCCAATAGTTCAAGGGGGTTTTGTACAACTTTTATAGTTCAGGGGGGTTTCTTGCACATATCCCAATAATTCAGAGGGGTTTTTTGCAACTTTTATAGTTTAAGGGGGTTTCTTGCACATACCCTAATAGTTTAGGGGGGTTTAATGCACTTTACCCTAAAATATATGAAATCATCTATTAAGCTTTTTATAGAATAAATAGTTAAATGAATAAATCAGGTATTCCTACTTTGAAATACAGATGTAAACATATATTTGTTTTGAGCAATAGTATTACATACACGAAGAGTTCATGATCTGGGAGATGCTTAAGTAGATTAACAGTGTCCTTTATTAGAATTGGGTTGAACAATCCACTGCTTGAGTTGCATAATTGACTTACAATTATCTTCAATGTCAACCTATTTGTAAACCCATTGGGCTGAGAGATAAAATGATTTTATCAAGACAAATGCTTTTGTTATTTTTGCAGTAGACAAACCAAAAAATAAAAGATTGATGCAACTCTAACACGTCTTCTCATGGAATTCCCGCCTTCTCATGGAATTCCTTAGGATCATTTACACCTTCCCTTTCTAGACCATCGATGATAAGAAGTACCCATATTCAATTTCAACATCCTATATATGTTTGCAAATGTACATGCACATGTAGCGAGAAAAGGGGATGGACCATTAGATATTGTGGCAAGAATTACCAAAAGAAGTAACGGATATTGTTGGTAGGAAAGCAAAACATATATAATATAGAATATATTGTATATGTGTTATGTGTGTAATAGAGTAATACTATAATACTATAAAGAATTTTAGAGAGAGAAAGAGGATAATACAGAGAGAATCTTAGAGAGTGTGGGAGAGAGAGAATTTGGGATCGTGTAAGAGAATTTTATGGAAGAAGAAAAGGTAAATTTGAGTCAAATAGAGGATGTAAAATTGCGTCCCTTGTGTAATAGGTGAAACATGGGTCAAAATAGGTAACCCATATTTAACCCATTTAACCCTCTATAAAAATAGGTTGAATATGGGTCACTAATTTTGACCCATATTTTAAAATAATTCAACTATATTTATTTTAAAATAAGAATATAAACGGGTTGATGCCCCATGACTCATTTTGCCACCCCTAATTTAATATATGTCTATTATGTCTGTATAAATAAATACAGTACTATATATGTATATTTACGTTTGAAGAGGTCCGAAAGCTAACAAGATACATTTAGCCCCCTTATCTTTTATCCGTCACTTGTCCATCTCAATCCCCATCCCCATACCCAACCAGACACACACACAGAATACTTCAATAACAGATTTAAGAGATTTTAAGAAATGCGAACTATTCCCAGACAAGGGGAGGTTTAGACTTGCAATTTACCGGCGAACATGTCGTGTTTTTACAGTTCTTGTTCCTTCTCTTCTTTCTCTGCTGTCTCCATCTCTCCCAAATCAACTTCCACTTCCGTTCGCCCAAATTTGAGGCCTAAAATCCACTGTGCCGTTGCAGGTAATTTTCATTTCACTTTTATCTACACTAATTGTTCATACTCTACACATTATCTGTCTCTTTTTGGGAATTTCGTAAACCATTTAATTGATCTTCTTGTCCGTAAAAAATGACCCGCAATTGGGTTTTGTGTGTGTATTGTTGAAATGATTGACGAAATGTTAGAAAAGAGAATTTTACTGAAAACCCATTGTGCGATTTGATCATAGCAGCAATGGATGTGATGTGTAAAATTAGAACAGATAGCAATTTGTGTGTATGTGTGTGCAATTACACAAGAATATTTATATTTATATATATACGCATATGTTGACTGTTTGTTAGATTATTATTAGTTTTGATGAATTCCAAATCTATTGGTTGTTTGTGTGTTTCCTTATATGGGTTTAATTCCTGTTACTAAGTAAGCTCCGAATTGATAAATTTTAAGTTTTTCGGTTTTAATTCACATTCCAGGAAGTGTTGCAGAAAGGGAGGTTGTCAATGCAACTGAGCCCTTGTTGCTTAATGCAGTTCGAGGTCAGGAAGTGGAAAGACCCCCAGTTTGGCTAATGAGGCAAGCAGGGAGATACATGAAGGCAGGTTCATGTGCTTCTGTCTTGGATAGTTATCATGTTTTGTATTTTGGGCAGTTTATTGAAAATTTTCGTCTGCCATAGATTCATATTTTGTTGTCGCTTGCTCTTTCTGAAATTTGGTATGTTCTTGTTAAATTGATTTATAAATGTCTGTTTGAGTGCAAAGCATGACTTCTGGTGCATCTGCTTCCATAGATTCAAATTTAGTATCTGAATAAAGAGCAATTATTGATGCAGGAAAGGGGTTGGTTGCATTTCCATTCGGTTTAAGATTAGATTAAAAATAGCAACAACATTGTAGTCTCGGAATTTCTGAACTTCTTCACACCGTGTTTCAACTATGTGGCTGTCCGAAAAATGTGATGTTGCTAGAAAAGATGGTCCTTTATTCAAATACAGCAGCTTTGTTTAGCTTTCAAGATTGTCAATGTGCCACCAGAAGGATACATGTATTTGTGTTATCTTTACATGCTAAAAATACTCGCCTCAAAAGAAAAAAGTAAAATAATAATAATTGGTTTGAAGAAAAGTTACTCCTTGGAAAACTTTCTGCTCAACAACCAGACAGCCCCTTGCAAGCATAGTGTTCTGGTATACTTGATTGGCTATTTAGAAGTTCTAATGATTTTCTTGCAGTAGTTGCTCTATTTTTTGTACCTTAAGAAAGATTGTTGTTCTTATGTATATATTTTTATTGTACTTTTTATTCCCAAACATGGATATTTGCTTAATTTAATTTGAATAAGCGGGATCTCATTTATTTTTTGTTTTTTGCCATAGAGTTACCAAGTCATCTGTGAGAAATATCCTTCTTTTCGTGAAAGATCAGAAAATGTTGATCTTGTAGTAGAAATTTCTCTACAGCCGTGGAAAGTATTTAAACCTGACGGGGTAAGTGCCTTGCTATAAAATTTTCTTTGAAATTGTCATTTGACACTTATTATAATTGTGCATCTCTAGCTCAGTTCTTCACACCATTAATTATGTTTATCTGTTGAAACACCATTCTTCCATTGTGTATAATGGTAATCATGCCAAATTTTGAGTTCTACATGTGGCTAAATATGTGACCACATGTTAGTGTTGTCTTGGTTTCCTTAGACTGCTCTGTACCGCTTTCTAGTTTCACTGATATAAATATGTTGTTTTGATCGTTGTGGCAGGTCATTTTATTCTCGGATATTCTAACACCTCTTTCTGGGATGAACATACCTTTTGACATTGTAAAAGGGAAGGGTCCTGTCATATTTAATCCTCTATGCACATCTGCTGATGTTGATCAAGTGAGAGAATTTATTCCTGAGGATTCAGTTCCATATGTAGGGGAAGCATTGACAATCTTACGAAAAGAGGTCTGATTGGCACGTTTCGTTTGAATTATCCTGCTATGAGTTTTTTTTTTTTTGTCCTTTCCTCTTTTAACTTTTCTCCAATATTATTGAGTGAATATGAAACATTCAAGGCCGAAACATGCATAGATGTTGCATCTTTGTTGGTTCTTGAGGGTAAAAATAGTATTGCCAACATTTCCAGCCTGTACCGTTTTTTTTTTATCCTGAATGTTCCTGCCTGTACTATTGATGGGACACTGCCAAAATAGCAAATGTCTAGGTTCAATGTTTGCGTAGAAATAATAGAAGTAACCTCATTTGGCGTCCAAGGAAGCTTTAGAATCTTGTGAGGAAAGGAACTCAACTTTTTGTCTGATCATTGTTGAATGAACCATGCTTACTTTACAGAACCCTGTTGGATCCCTTCCTTGTGCCTAATACTAGTTCAGTGTAGTTTAATTTCTTGTTCAACTGTATGCTTAAGGTTTCAAGTTCAAGTCATGGGTGTAGTATTAATTGATTTATTTTTACTTATCAAAAAAAAAAAAAATTCTTGCTCAATTGCATATTTGAGGAGAACATCAAAGATCTCTCCCTGGATTTATTCCTAAATATCTAACTTGGCAGCATCATATCATCCTTGCTTTAACTTCTTTTTCTCAGTTCAAACAAATTTGGCAAATTTGATTTGAATTCTTTCGTTGATTTAAGGTTATTTCTGTTGGAACTTGGATGAAATCTGGAAACCTCCCAATTTATTTAGTATTGTTCTGCCCTCACCCAATCTGAGATATTCTTTATATTCTTCTTATCTTTGTTTTGTCAGGTTGATAATCAATCAGCAGTGCTAGGTTTTGTTGGGGCTCCATTCACTCTAGCGTCATATGTGGTTGAAGGTGGTTCGTCAAAGCACTTCTCAAAAATAAAGCGACTAGCATTTTCTCAACCCAAGGTGAATGCATATTATTTTGCTTTAGATTTCTTGGACCTATAATGTGAAATATAAAAGGCATACCAGTGAAATGCAACTTAAATAGTCTTCTGTGATATAGGGTCTGTCTTAAAAAACAAATTCTGGCAACTCTGAGAACTGAAAACAGTTTTCTCAAAACTAAATATTACTGTGTGAAGTTGGATATCTTTTAACTCTGTTCACATAGCATTTGTTATCATAAAACTGTCAACCAAACTAATTTTCAAACTGTTATCTGTTATTTGAAACAAGTTTCTCCCCAGAGAACAGAGCCGGACAGACCCATAGATTTCAGGAACAGCTCTATAACCCAGAAAATACACATTTTCAAGATCTGATGCTTCAGACTCACTAATATTAAGTGTTGACTCTTCTCATGTCTGGACAGTTCATCTTACAATCACACCAACTGATTTTTGTCCCAAATCATGAAAAGGCTTGCAGTACCAAATTTTTTGGAGTTATGATTTAAGAGTGTGTTTTTGTGCATTCCTGAAGCTCTTGCCAGTAATGCATGCTGTTGTATACATATGCATACATGTATATGAAGACATGCGTGTATATAGGTATTGGTGCACATACTGTTGAAATACAATCACCATTTCCATCTCTCCCTCTCTCTCTCTGCATCATTGTATTGGATATATCTTGATTTTTTTTTTTTTTTGATAAGTACTTAACCCATTTTTTATAAGATTTTCCATCATTAGGCTATCTTGAATTTTATGCACCCTGCTTTTCAATTATGTGGTGTGCAACTGAAGATCATGGCAATGTGTGAGAACTTGTTCTCACTTTTTGTGGTATATACATATCAGTCTAAGTAATAAAGGTTTTCCATCACCCACATATTATTTTATATAGTACGCATGGTTGCTCCCCAAATATTTGGGAGTAGGCTTTATGGAGTTGAAGTGAGATACTGATGGTTGGTGTAGTATTTTTAGTAAACCGAACTCCTGGACTTGGACAATTACTTAAGCCTAACCATCCTTGTTGATTGCATAGGGCATGAGGATCCAAGTGATGCATGGAAAAAGTAAAACAGCTGTGTGGATAAAAGCTTTTCATTATGCATCCATTTGTAAACTCATGGCCATTGCTTTATTATATCATATTCAATCTCCTTCAGGGATTTTTGAAAGAGTTTAGCAGATCACGTATTGCTTACCCTATCTTATGAACTAATCAGAGAGTAAACTTTTCCCCCCTTTGTGATAGAGTGACTTTAAGATATGCTCAACTTTTGTTTTCTCCCATAGGTACTTCATGCACTTCTTCAGAAATTCACGACTTCCATGGCAAAGTATATTCAATACCAAGCTGACAATGGAGCTCAAGCTGTTCAGATCTTTGATTCATGGGCCACAGAACTTAGTCCAGTTGATTTTGAGGAATTCAGCCTGCCTTACTTGAAGCAGATTGTAGATTCTGTGAAACAAACCCATCCAAATTTTCCTCTTATCCTTTATGCAAGTGGATCAGGGGGCCTGCTTGAGAGGCTACCATTGACAGGTGTTGATGTGGTCAGCTTGGATTGGACAGTTGACATGGCTGAAGGTAGGAGAAGATTGGGGCCAGACATGGCAGTTCAGGGCAATGTGGATCCTGGCGTTCTTTTTGGTTCGAAAGAGTTCATCACCAAACGGATAAATGATACCGTGCAGAAAGCAGGTAAAGGCAAACATATTTTGAATCTTGGCCATGGCATCGTAGTAGGTACACCGGAGGAGAATGTTGCCCATTTCTTTGAGGTTGCGAAAGAAATTAGATATTAAAAGTTGACTTGAGATTAGTTGGTTTTCTGTCTTAAGTTTCACCTATCATTAGTTCCATTTTTCAGTCCTTGTTCATTTGTTGTTCAATACTGCTCCAATGTGAGAAAGGCAACCATGTTACAATGTAGGATAGGAATTTGGTTGGTCTGTACTCTATCCAACATGAATTTATTTGAGAAGTTAATATTTGTACCTTTTTGTACCCTTCGGAAAACGGCATTGTGATGGACCTCATTTAATTGTCTGCTCTGTTTGTGCTTGTCTTTTGCCTTCTGGCTTTGTCCTGGGCCAGCCCAGTCTTGTTTAGTCTTCTTCAATTAAAATTAAAGCAATTATTTGTTATTTTTGGTTCTACAAATGTTTTCTAATTGCTTCCTCTCTTTCTTTTTTTTTTTTCTTTTTCTCTTTTTCCTGCAATGATGAAGCAATTATTAAATGGTCTTAAATCGTTAAATTCATTAATATTTAAAGTCACTGGACCCAAAATAACTTATAGTCTAAAGTTATCTAATAATTTCTATAATTTGGAACCTTGGATGATTTTACTTTTACCTAATGCCGTAAAGCCCATGAGTAATCATTGAGACTTGAGAGAGCATTATTTTGGTCTCTCACACATACACACGTGTTTGTGTGTGTGTGTGTGTGAATTTAGGACTTCAATTGGAACCTATCACAAAGGTCCACGTTGCAGTGATGGAAGAGCAGAAGCTATTAACAGCATATATATATATATATATATATGCGTGTGTGTGTGTGTGTGTGTGTGTGTGTCATAATGTGCTGGATGGCACTACCTATTGAATTGAAATGGGGTACAAACCACAAACCAAAAGAAGAAGAAGACGAATTGCAAGACCAGCATGAAGTAGAATAAATAGAATGATTAAGGAGAAAAATGAAAAAGAAAGGAGAAGGCGACAACAAAACGCACAGAAACATAATGTCCATTTCATAGTATTAGTTTTTGAAGCATTTTATAGACAGTATGTCGGCCACATTTGTGTGAATTCGTATCTACTCAATTGGATGTGGAAGCTTCAAACATGCATCTCCTCCACATCAACAAAAATTGTTCTACTTCTCAAATCTCAAGTCATTTCAAAACCACCAAGTGCCCATAGCCAACTCAAGCTGACTTCAAATTTAGAATGCAATACTTTTTCCAACTCAACCACCTCTCTAGATGCAAGAAATTATACCATCTCACTAATGTCGGTTGATAAAAGGATAAGTGTAAAAAATATTTAGGTAAATTACCGTATTTGATTTTTCAAACAAATTACAGTAAAGTAAATCGTTCAATACTTATTACTTTAACTTTTACTAAAATCTGGTATATGTGTTCAATGATATCTCTACTGTTTTCTTTGGAGCAGACCTATAGATCAAATTTTATAAAATAACAATTTTACCCTTTCCTTATATGAAAATTAGGGTATTAATGACTTTTCATATTCAAAGTTACTTCAGGACGAACAGGTTTAGGTAATATCAAAATAATAAATATGTTAAAATTTTAGAAAATGTTGGTGTAATTTATTCAAAATATTAATTCGAGATCTTGGTTATTTTGTACAGAGCAATATTAAAAGTTGGAATGGCATAAAGAGAGGGGATGCAAAGTAGATACTTTATTTGTTCTGAAATTTTGAATGGATGGGATCAATACTGGATAATATGCATGTCTTTTCATGATGCAAACCATGAACTGTACAGTTTTAGGGTTCTCCTTACATTTTTGGATAATAGCGGCAAAATCATGTTGTTCTGGTAATAATAATATTTTCGTGGTGTACATTAATGAACACTTTGGCATCAAGTGCCACAAGATGTTGGTGGGGTATATGTAGTGATGTGGGAGGTGTAAGAATTAATGGTGACAGTAGTGGTGGAGGAGGATGGCCATGGTGGAGGAGGATGGCCATGCAATGTCCTCATATTGAATATGCATTCACACAAGCATACGTGTGTGTGTGTGTGTGTCACAAAGAATTTTCGTAAACATATTCTCGCATTAAAATATTTTCAAAATATATATAATGAACTGAAAATGGTGAAGATGAATTTGTACTTAAAATTTTAGCCTTTCACGAGATTGAACCGTACATGTCAGGTGTAACGTCAAATAATGTTGCTCAATTATATACATACGCAGTCATTTTCAGCAGTCCCATTGAAGGAAAAAAAGACAAAGGGAAAGAGATCGCATAACCCCAGTTTAATCTGATATGATATGCGTACAGTAGTCATGTATAATGCATGTGTGTGTGTGATAATTTAGTAGCGTTCGGATGTGCTTCAGATATATTCCTGCATGTGTTTTGTCACCATTTGCAAAATTGCAACTTTCACAAATCCCATGCAATACCCCACTCTGAGATGGAGCCCACATCTCTTAAATGATTGGAGAATAGCTAATTCGTGGCTTCATGCTATGGTACGTGTTCTTAACTTCTTATTAATCCTTTGTGTATATGAGTAGATTCGCATGTTAGATATATGAATATTAATGTTCATAATGTGCATCAAACTAAAATTATTCTGATGTGAACTAGCCATTGTGGAGCTATCTACATACCTATTTATCTCATTCTATATAAGAATTGTGATTTGGAATAGCTAGAAACTAATTTTAAAGTTAAAACATGGAATAATTACATATACACGGCTTTTGGAATTATATTTACTGTTTCATGGAGTTAAATTTATGGTGTTTCAAAAAATGAATTTGACCAAAATGCATATGTGGATATGAAAAAATTTAGTTTATTTGTCCAAACAACTCTTATTTGCATGCATAAAAGTGGTGTCTGAAAATAATAGAAGTAGTTTGGACAAATTAATTGTATCTTTTTTATGTCGTTGGCATCGGGATAAAATTTATTTTTTAAAAACATTATGACTTTGACTCCATAAATCAATAATTTGACTCCTCATTCAAGTTTTTTAAATTAAACTGTAACATAAATATTGGACCCCCAAAATTTTATATCCTTAAATATACGGTTGATCACGGTTCGGATTGGTTCGGTTTAGGGGTCAAAGGTAATTCAATTCGGTCTCAACGGATTGGTAAATTGTGAAATCGAACCGATCCGTGTGAATACTCAAACCGAACCAAACCAATCCGTGAAATAACGGATTGGATCGGTTCGGTTTTATAGATTGCACGTTTTCAATAGATCGATTTGTCGAAGAAGGAAGAAGATTTGTCGAAGAAGAAAGAAGATTTGCCTTGTTGTGAAGTTGATTTACCAAAGAAAAAAGTAGATTTGCCAGGGAAGAAAGGAAATATGATGTGTTTTAGCTTTGGCTGATGAGAGGCGACTCTCCTATGTGAGAGTGTGTACTATGAAATGAGAGAAACTAATTTGAAGTTGTGAAAATTTCGCAGCAATCTTAACTACCCGGTACCAAGCTTAAGGCGGTAGGAGAGGAGCATTTGTTGAAGGCGCACGCCTGCTTGACTAGTGGGTGGGACATCTTGTTTTTATTACTCTCTCTGTCCTAAAAAGAATGTCTTTTTTAGGGACTAGAAATTTTTAACGGACATGTGGGCCATGTATTGTCCCTTAAAAAGTTACTAACTTGCCTTTTAAAATTTTGAATATTCAAGTTTAAAATTTTAAACTAGGCTCTCTTTTGTATTCAATGCTCCATATATATATATGAATTGAACGGATTGGCCACGGATCAGTTTACGGATCGGTTTGATTTTTTCAACATTCAATCCGGTAACCGATCCGGCCACTACGGATTACTAATTTTTCAAACCATCACCGAACTACGAAACTAGAAAACCAAACCAAACTGTATAGATCGGATCGGTTTGGCGAATTGACGAATTATTTGAACACCACTACTTAAATGATATTTTATTTTATTTATTTATTTTTTTTTTTTTTTTGGGGAAACTACAATTAGGTAGACATAGGAGTCTTTAATAACAAATCAGTTTATTTTAAAAGTTGATTTTTCAATTTGGTTGAGTTAAGCAAAATAAATTATATATACATTGAAAATTAACTATTGTTTAGGTCCAAAATACTATCTAAACTCTTATTTCAAATCAATAGTTCTTTCATTCAATAAATTTAGAAAAACAAGATTTTCAAATTGACTTTCAACTTGGAGGGCATGTGATTTATATATTACTAAAAATAAATAAAATAAAAAACTATATATATATATAGAAAGAAATTTTATGCATTTAACTTTAATCGTATTTCCTAATCTATATTGGTTTAAACCTGCAAATGTCAATTTAGAAATATACAAATAATTTAGTGAAATTCATTATATATATAGATTTGTTTTTTCGGCAAGTAAAAATTCATTTTATATATATATATATATATATATATATATATATATATATATATATAATTTAATATGTACATAGCTTCAACCACATGGCCTAATTCATACATAAACCTTGCAAATGTGAAAACTTTTATGTGCAAAGAAAATATATATATATATATATATATATAGAATATATATATATATACACACACACACATAAATACCGTATACACACATGGGAGAGGGAGGTCATAAAATTAAATGGTTGCTTCAGTAAATGATAAGAAATGTAAATTAAGCCAAATGATAATCATCTCAAGGCATGCATCACATCAAAGATGATTTATTTGCATGAAAGAGTTTAATTATATATTTATTTTTAAGGACTACTCTTTAATTGTCCGAGTTTTTACTATGTAATTAATTATTTTTATTGTTTGTATAAATTCTCGTGTATGTGTGTATAAAGTTGTAGCAATATGATTCAAAGTTAAGTGAAAGATCTTATTTTCTTAAAAATTTTAAGTAAAGAAATTATATCAAGAAAGTATTTTGATTTGAAAGGAATAATTTAGTTTTTTAGAAGAATTTGGAGGCTATTTTAGACTTGAACAACAATTATTGATGCATATGTAAATATTTTACCTAATGTAACTAAAGTGAAAAATTAACTTTTAAAATAAACAGTTTTGCTATTTAAGACTCATAACACTATATAAGTATAGTTTTTCCTTTTTTTTCTTCCTCTATCTCCTCCTCAAACAAAATCTTAATATTGGTCCAAAGATTTATATTCTTAAATAACTTTTTTGTTCTCTCTCTATCATTCACATTCCTGTAGTAAATATTAAATATGTATTTAATTGTGGTTTGGGAAAATGGTAAAACTTTTCATATTCTTTTTCTAGTTTTTTTATCTTCTTTTTTTTTTTTTTTTTTTTTTTCTCTTTA